AGAAAATGTGACACATATATATATATATCTCCTGAGAGTGCATCCCTGGGGTATTATTAAAATTGCCGGTAGAAAAGATTTACATAAAGTGTGTTAGATGTTACAGCAATCTTTCTCACGAGAAAGAACAAGTGACACTCTTGTTCAATACTCTAGTACGTCTAGTTCCATAAGTAACTATGGTCAGAGAGGCTTGGAGACTCCCTTGACCGAGATTCTGTATTAACAACACATGTTCGATTTGAAAAGAAGTTTTAAAAACATATATATAACAAGCAAAGGTAGAAAATACATTATACGCCTGCATACCACAGCAGCCATTTGTGTAGCTTGCACATAGTCTTTCTTGTAACCTTACATTAAAATTATAAAACTTTTTTTTTTTTTACTTTTGGGACCAGACAATCAGAAGGAAAGTTTATAATATTTTATTTTTATGTGAACAGTAAAAAACAAGCAATGTATAAGTATAACTACAATACATGTTATTGTTTCTTTAGATGATTTTTAAGCCAGAATTGTTTTTTCGGTCAATTTGTTTGGCTGTTTTTAGATCAAAGATCTATAACGGGAGATCTTTTTTGCACTCTACATACTTGTGTTATAACGCTTAAATCACAGCGTCAAGCCACCAGGGGACTTTTCAGTTAGCTTCAACTTCAACTTAAAATTTCTGGATATGTAGTTGTTTAGTGTTATGGCAATTAAAAACTGTTGGATTTTATCTTTCCATAACTAAGGTTACATGTCAGAGCAGTAGTTCCAGAGATCTTATACTCGGTGGCCATGTTTCTGTATAGTCTCTCACCTATATTGTGGGTCCTACACAAGTGGATGGATGGTGCAAAGTTCAGTGCAGGATAATACATGCTGTAAGTTAACTTTTCTTTGAATGTACATTAATTGATAGTTAATCTAGGATCGTGGGATACTGCATTAAAATTTTGGTCTAACTTGATAGAGTGACAAAATTCTGCTGTTTATTGTTCTGTTAAGACGTGATATATCCCATACCCAGTAGTCAGAGAAGTTAACTCAGGACGTAGATATCATCCATTTCAAATTGTAAGTCCTCATCAAATCTTGCTTATTCATGTAAGAAATATAGTTTCCTGTAGTTTGTTTTATGCTTGTGTTTGAGTCTTTTCTATGCTGTCCATTTTCAATATGTCTCTCTCAAACAAGTCTTTCCGAACATCAGTACTGCTGACTTACTATTTATCTGTTTCAACATAGTGTTATAAGAATAGAAATATATTCGGGGTTCGGGCCCATAGGCACGGGAACGAAAACCTTTTCTCCGTGTAACTACTAACAGAAAAACAAATAGATTCAACCTCGTTTCTAATAGCTTTGATATCATCAAGTTGAACAGGATGTCAAAGTCAAAGTGTGTTGGATTGTGGGTTGCTTTATTTCTACTCTCTCTCACACGTTAGCACCCCAGTGGCACAAACTGCGGACTTACAACGCTAGAATCCAGGTTTAGATACCGGTGGTGGGCATAGCACAGATAGCCCATTGTGTAGCTTTGTGCTTAACTTGAAACAAATCAAACCATACTCACCCGTTTAATTTTAGCTCACAAATGCTAGAGCTAAAAGCTGTGGTAAAACGTCTATCACAATGCAATTACAAAAAGCATTCTAAATCTCAAGAGTCTGGCAAGAAGTATATATCAATAGCAGAATCTAAAATCTGTATTCTTTATAAGTCTTGTAAACATTTTAATCTCAGTTTTTCTGTTAAACAAAAAAAAACATGAAAGTATATACTAAATTCTCCCCTTTCCAGGCACAAGCGCCATCCATGTGACTGAGAGCCACTATTGGGCTATCACATGGATCGCCATCAGGGCAGACCACTGTTTCTACTTATAACATCTTTCATGCTACGGCGATCTCCCATAATACAAAACGTGTGATGACCTACGTGACCCAACAAGTCCTATGAATAACCAAGACCAAATAAACTTAATAGTTCTATTGACCATGTTCTATATCAAGAAAAACCCTTGAAATACACTGGAAATTTGAAACAATTATGTAGTAACAAATAGGGATAGAAATTACGTGATATTTCCACGCATCACACATAGTTTCCAAACTGATTTGATGTTTAACATAAAATATATTTTTTATTTTGACATTCTCCACAATTTACGTGCAGTTTAAGATTCTCTGTGCTCAGTGGGACAGCGGTAAGTCTACGGACTTACAACGCTAAAATCAGCAGTTTGATTCCCCTCGGTGGACACAGCAGATAGCCCGATGTGGCTTTGGTATAAAAATAATAATATTCTCTGCTGCCTTTCAAACAATATTCTATACTAGCTGGAGTACCCCGATTAATGAAAGGTTATCTTAGGACGTGAAAAGTTGCTTCCCTTATATGTAATTGGAAAAACAGCAAAATGCAAAACTGAAAATGTGTATGTATCTCCCCATGGACCCAATGAACTTTCAAACCAAATTTGGTGAAAATCCATCTACAGAGGGTGAAGTAGTGGCAAAAAACGAAAAAACGCCCATAAAAACCGCAAAACTGAAAATTTTTATGTATCCCAGCATGAGCCCTGTGAAGTAGTTACATGAACATACAACAGACAGTACTATTATATTTATATAGATTAATCTATTAGATTTCCGTTTCGGAAATATTAAATAATAAGAGTAATTAAAACTACGATATTACATTTACAATTTGAGTAAGTAAAATATAATTTTCTGGCGTTACAGCTGAATAGAAGTAATACGAAACTTAATTAAAATGACTAATTATTTTTTTATATATATAATTAAATAAACAATTTTTGTAATGTTATTATCAAACTAATATTAAACTTGTTTGTTTGTTGTTTAGCACAAAGTTACACTAAAAAGTTTTATGTTCATGGAGGGTATTGAAACCCGATTTTTTACATATCGCTGAACCACCAGGGTGGAGGTCTAAAATTAAGTTGAAATTTCAAGGGCTTGTCCCAACATGTGAACTATATATCTTTCGTACTATGTAGATTTTATTTATTCTCACTGTTGTAAAATTGAATATTTCATAGACGCGTAAAGTCGAATTTCTTAGTAACTTAGTTGAGAACTGTCTATTATGTTAATTAATGTTACCATTAAGTGACTGACGAAATTGTTCATTGTTCACTAATTGCTGCACACGATATTGTGTTCTTTTATTATTACTATGTTATCCACGAAAGAACAACGATACACTAATTGCTGCACACGATATTGTGTTATTTCATTATTACTATGTTATCTACGAAGGAACAAAGATACATTAATTGCTGCACACGATATTGTGTTCTTTCCTTATTACTATGTTATCCACGAAGGAACAACGATACACTAATTGCTGCACACGATATTGTGTTATTTCATTATTACTATGTTATCTACGAAGGAACAAAGATACATTAATTGCTGCACACGATATTGTGTTCTTTTATTATTACTATGTTATCCACGAAGGAACAACGATACACTAATTGCTGCACACGATATTGTGTTCTTTTACTATTACTGTTATCCACGAAGGAACAAAGATACACTAATTGCTGCACACGATATTGTGTTCTTTCATTATTACTATGTTATCCACGAAGGAACAAAGATACACTAATTGCTGCACACGATATTGTGTTATTTTATTATTACTATGTTATCCACGAAGGAACAAAGATACACTAACTGATGAACACGATATTGTGTTCTTTTATTATTACTATGTTATCCACGAAGGAACAAAGATACATTAACTGATGAACACGATATTGTGTTCTTTTATTATTACTATGTTATCCACGAAGAAACAAAGATACACTAACTGCTGAACACGATATTGTGTTCTTTTATAATGTTCATGTTAAACTTTAATGTAGTCTTGTGAAACACCTGTTACGTATATATAATCATCCTTTATGACCTAGCACTGGGTGTACGTGCTCAACACTACCTCGCACTTTGTATTATCCATCACATGTTTCTCAACCACTAGTCTGCCATACCCACAATGTCCGTCCGTGGGATTTCATGAAAAACAACAAAAAACTGACAGAATATTCATACATAAATCTTTTTGGTTTCTCATTGCCCTTCTTTTTAGTGGTCTGCGATAGTTTAGGGAAGCGGTAAACCAATCCCTAGTATCGAAAAAGTTGAGAAGCGATGACTTACATTTTCCAGCGGGAAACGATCTGCACCACTTAAACATTTACACAACTCTTGCTAATCTTTCGACGAAGAGATTTAAACTATTTCAGACTTAGATTTCTGATTTGCGTGTAGATGACAAAAAAAATTAACATTTGAATAAAAACTTGGCAATTTCTAAGTGGTATGTATGTATCAAAATGGGCCCGGCACGGCCAGGTGGTTAGGGGGCGCTCGACTCGCAATCTGAGAGTTCGAATCCCCGTCACACCAAACATGCTCGCCCTTTCAGCCATGGGGGCGTTATAATGTGACGGTCAATCCCACTATTCATTGGTAAAAGAGTAGCCCAAGAGTTGGCGGTGGGTGGTGATGACTAGCTGCCTTCCCTCCAGTCTTACACTGCTAAATTAGGGACGGCTAGCGCAGATAGCCCTCGTGTAGCTTTGCGCGAAATAAAAAACAAACAATGTATGTAAATATTTTAAAATATTTATTTTGGTGAAACTTGGTTTATTGATTTACAGTCTCAAATTTCAAAAGTAGCAAAGATAACAGAGTGAATCATTTCGTGCCGGAAATTACTCGTCGAGCATTTTCGACACACCTAATGATTTATAAAATAATAATAATTCATTTCTAGCTATGCATTTAATATTAAATAAAATACCTTCTGGTTATTTATAAACAGAAACTTCCGAAACTCTTTCAAAAGTTCTCTTGTTTTTAAAAATTAGCGTTAAGATAGTACTTCCAATAGAAAATGTTTAAATCGTATATTAATACTTATCTGTGCTACTCTGATTAGAAATGTATCAAAAATAACTCATATTCGTGTTTCCTTTAAATATCATTTTATTGCAGTTAATTCACAAGCTGATACAATAAAATAGAGCTTTCTTTAAAATGATCACTACAAATTTGATCTTCATGTAACAAAGTTTTATGCATAACAAATTTTTACTCTTTTCATAATAACTCCGTATTCATATATGCACTAAAATACAAAAATACTCTTAAAACCATATCATATACTGATAATCCCAAATAAAAATAAAATATCAAGTTGGAAGAAATGTTAGTTTATTCAAAAATACCTTTATATACACTCCAAACTGGAGTTTTGAAAGCACGAATAAAAATGATAAAAAAGAAACAGTAACATAGCAATTAATTTTCACATTTATTAAAACCAACTTACAAATCACGACCTCATCCCTCAAAATAAAGGAATCAAACCATAAAACGACACCTATCGACAATCTTCAACAACCAATTATTTTTAGTCGGTAATTTTACAAGATTGCGAGTCGACACAGTTTTAAGATTAAAGTAAATGCATTAATAAGTTATGTAAGTGTTACATATGAAAGAAAAACTACATGGGAAGACTACATTTCTATAAAGATTCAAAATACACTCAAACGAGATTTTACTGATAAATCAACATCATAACCATAAGTGATTAGTTGCCTAATATTAGTGTCTTCAACAAGTCGAGCTACTTATAATAATTACTTGAAATACGCAATTACAGAAAATATGCAAACCTTTGATTCAACAAGCAAAAATAAATAGAAAGTTTATAATAAGCAAAAATATAACACGAATCAGAAACAAGAAGTCTTACAATATCAACAGTACACCCCTATTATATCACTTTCAAGACAGTTCATGATTAGATTACGTTGTCAGACGAATAAGTACTTACTATTACGAAAAATAATTATAAATTGGAACAATAACACAACAATCTTAGTATTTCTAAATTAACTTTTTACAAGTTAAAAATCAAATGTAAGTATACAAATATGGGTATTACGTGTCTATATTTCACAAAATAAGTGATGGCCCTCAAATATTCATGGTCAAAAATTTCATACGAATTTAATTGTTAGAAATAAACAAAATACTTAATTAAAAAACGTAAACATTAGCCTGTAGATTCTAATTAAAGTATATTATTGTAAAAAAATACTTAATTAAAAAACGTAATCATTAGCCTGTAGATTCTACTTAAAGTATATTATTGTAAAATAATTATCTAAATGTTGTGTGTATAGTGCGAAACATATCAGTCAATAAAGGTGTTATTTTAGCAAAAAAACACAAGAAAACTACATGGATTATTGCCATTCTGTATCCAGTTCTGTCATACAAACATTATCCTTTATACGACATCTCTTGATAAATTACACAATTACAAAAAGGCTAAAAGTAAAAAAAAAATCTTAAAATGTCGACATTACGAGACAAACTTTATAAGCTTCAATCCTGCAGCGACAAGAAATGGAAGCTATTTATTTCATAAAATTTTGTAATAGCTTTTATTTTTTTTATTTTTCAAAACAAAAAAAAACTTTTTTTTAAAGTGACTTATTGATGCTGAAAATTAGGTACTATGTCAAAAATAAAACTACCCATTTCACTCTGTCAAAACTTTAATTTCATAACTATTAAATATTTGTTGAATTTTAAAGTAACTTTGGTTTTCACTTTTACTTCAGTATATATCAAGACACGCTTGACACAGACAGCATAGTACAATTTTTTTCGAATTTTAATTCATAGTACTTCGTGAGGATTAGCTTCAGCTATACCAAGTGACTTGATAAAACTTAATCACCTTCATTATGGTCATCTATAATGTAAATGTTCTTGTTATTACGGATGAAACTTAAAAAGGACTGCAAGAATGCACAAAGAAGTTGAAGAGAGAAGCGGTAAAGGTGGGTCTAAGATAAAATGTGAAAAAATGCAATACAATGTCAATTGAGAATGAAAAACCTAATATAATATTTGATGGTGAGACCATATATCAAGTTAAGAGATATGGAGGGATGGAAATAGCCATGAAGAAATGATCAACAGAATTGGTAAAGCTAATGACTGCTCAACAATAGAAGTATGAACATCAAAATGAGAGTTAGACTATAATTGTCTTGTTTTGCCTGTCCTGCTGTACCGTTGCAAAGCATAGCAGATGTACAGAAAAGACAAAAACATATTAAATCCATTCCATATGAACAGCCTGCGTCAAATATTAAAATTATCATGGAAGGATAAAGTACCAAACTTCGAGGTGCTGAAGTGCACAGAAGCATGTGACCTGATGGATTTAATCAAACAAAGATGAATGAAACAGATGGGTCACATTATAAGAATGGATGACACAAGAATTGTGAAGCAAGTGATGAACTGGAAGGTTGAAGATGGAAGTAGAAAGAGAGGACGACCAAAGCTCATGTGGAAAAAATGTATTGAGAAAGACATCAGTGAAAAACTGTCACATGAGAATAAATGGAAAAGATGGTGTTGGATATCATCAATGGACAGCCCAATGTGTCAGGAGACATAGGATGAACTAAGTATACTGTAAATGTACTGTACACCAAATGACATTTAATAATTTCAATAAACAAAGTTCATAGTGCAGATATTTTTGGATAATGTCAAACACTATAATTGTCAATCCTCAAGAGAAGACCCAAGTGGCAAAAAAAAAGTAATATAAAAAAAAACAGCCTCACAAATAACAAAATCAAAGTGACATTTTTCATAAACAGTGATTCAAATATGTATATATAGAATTTATATTATACCATGTATATCTGTAATTACTTTCAGTATATCACTTTATTTGTTACTATATGAATATCAGCTGTAGAAAAATCTTTTACACCTGTTTATCTGTTCCACACACATCTATTTTCTGTGTTACTGGCATATTGAGATTTTACCAGTATTGATAAAAGTAAAACCTGCAATAAAACTTACTTTTGAATAAATGTAAAGTATGACTGTATATGTTTTTCTTTACCCATTTAGATAACTTAAACGTATATAGATTAACACCTAAAACCTATTATTGTAATATTATGTATAGAACATCAACAAACTAAAAGTTCTAAAATATTTCGTCTTAAATATTTAGGAACTGGTGTTTTTTAAAGACCGAATGCTATTCATCATCAAAGTAGTTGTGTCTTTTAAATAAAAACAACATCTGTAACTGTGTAAGATGCACTATGATTAAAACTACTTGTATTTCCAAACATCCAATATATATTTAAGATAAACCAACAATGTGATATAAAACTGTTTTCATGTTGCCACCTTTTCAACATCCACAGTCTCTTGAAAATCATTACAGACAGTTTCAGATGCCACTTCTATATTTACTACTGCAGTGTTAGGATCAGGCACAATTTCACTTTTGTGGTAAGCTGCAAACAAAGGTTCTTGGTTAGCTGCCAGCACAGGTTCTGGATTAACTGCCAATACAGTCTCTTGGTTGACTACACTTCTAATTTCTTGGCCAGTTTCATTAATTTGTTTAGAAATAAAAAGATGTTTGAAATGGGGAGTGCAATAAATCTTCCCTCCACTTGTAGTGTAATTTTCTAACCTATTACACGAAACATAATAAAGAAAAATATCACTTAAAAACAAGATTAATGGTAATAAAACCATATTTATAAAGAGTGTTAAACAAAAACGTTTGCAGCATTTTTTTCCAGTGTTTCCACAAGTTACTTTTACATGATAAATATATAATACAATACTGAAGCGTTGCTTAACATGAAATACACAAGTTCCAAAATCATCTTTTCATTTTCACAGCAAACATCTATAAATTAATGTACATGAAACATAACTTGTCTTACATGAAGCCCAAACTAACTTATTAAAGAACTGTAAAACAATGATTGTTAGTATAGCTATTTCCATTATGATAAGATGCCACTACTCTTGGTTTGTACTAATAACAATTATTTATTTATTTGTTAAATGTCATGCAAAGCTACTCCAAAGGTTATCTGCACTAATTTTCAACACCACCCACTGCCAACCCATGGGTTACTGTAATCAAATAGTTTGATTTAACCATCACTCTTATAATGCACCCATGCCCCAAAGTGCAGAGTATATATTTTTCCAGCAATAATTGGACATAAACCAAAGACCTTTAGATCCACAGTCCTGCACATCAAGAAGTGTCAATTTGTATAAGAGTATCTGAGGTAAGCATGTCCAATGGAGGAAAAGAAGTCTCAATAACTGTTTAAAGTTCTGAATGACAAAAACACTAACAAATCATATACATACATTATTTGGTAACTAAATATATGTTCAATATTAAAATGTCGTCTCATAATTACCTCTGGATTTGCAATATAATAACTGTAACCATTTAGATTCCAACAATAATGTTATTCAGTTGCATGAGTTCAGCACACCTTGATTCATACAACATACAGTATCGAAATAATGTAAGCACTAGTTCAAACTTACAGTACTAAGTTCTCTTTAACATAAAACTTTAATAACGGAATACTTTTCTAACTTATGATAAGCATATTTGTTCTCATATATTTTTTGAGTGTAGAAACAATGAAGACCTTTAAATTTAAATGGGTATTAAACTTCAGTGAATCATACCATGATTAATAACAGTAACAATCATAAATTTAAATGAAATTAAAACAAATGCAGAAAACTATTTCCCTCCCAGAATTACAAGAATCTTGGTCAACAAGAACAAGATATGTTTTTATGAAATCAAACAAATTTTACACATTATTTTTGGAACTGTATGACCTATTTTCCCTATTTTTTTTTAGACAAGTGCACTAACCAAAAAAAATAGGTTTTCCTTGTAACAGTGAGTAGTTTATCCTGTATGGTCAACAATTTGGTTATTTTTAATCAGAATAACAGCCACCGTAAGAACATCACTTATAAGAGGTTTCCATATAAATTTTGTACTTGAATTTATACATTAATTAACAAAAGAAACACAAAAAATGATGTTCTATGAAAATTATGAAGTAACATACACTACATACATATATGTGTAAAAATTGTTTAGAAGCAGCTTTTAACAGTCAAACACTTACAGATTCTTAACTTCTAATATTACATTTATCGCAGCTGCTATATAAGCTTAACTTCAGATTCTTAACTTCTAATATTACATTTATGGCAGCTGCTATATAAGCTTAACTTCAGATTCTTAACTTCTAATATTACATTTATGACAGCTGCTATATAAGCTTAACTTCTGATTCTTAACTTCTAATATTACATTTATCGCAGCTGCTATATAAGCTTAACTTCAGATTCTTAACTTCTAATATTACATTTATCGCAGCTGCTATATAAGCTTAACTTCTCTTCCTTATCAAAGATATGAAAAATGTTTATGTTAAGAAATCACATATACATATCAAACGTTAGCATTTTCTTACACTGAAAATGTATTTCTGATAGGTACTTACCTCTCTCGATCCTGGACTGCCCTCTAAACATTGGTAAAATTTTTTGTTAATGGTGCACCAGTCTTTTATATCTTATCAGTTTTGTGCAACTGCAGAACATATGCTGATCATGTGACTACCCTCCTCCAATCATACTGCACCCTGTATACTAGCACAGCTAGCTCCCTCTGCTATTCTAGTGTAATCCTTACTTTCGATAATTGGCAGGTAGAAACCAGAAACACCTGCATATCAGTAGGGAGGAAGGGTGGGAAGTCAGTGAGAGGAGATAAGTACCTATCAGAAATACATTTTCAGTGTTAGAAAATTGTAACTTCTGAAACAGTACTACCTCCCTCACCCAAAGCTAGAATCCCACATTTGAAAAATGGAGGGGCCAGTGAAGGTGTATCAATATCCAATAAAGTAGTAAGCAACTACACTGAAACAACAAGTGTCCAAGAATATGAAAAGAAAGCACACCTGTGGGGTATAGCACTACTTCTGGAACAGGTATGCTCTTTGCCCAGTAATTAACACATAACAGAAAGAGGGCAAAACTGAATTAGCAAGCACCAATGCATTCAGAAAAGAGACTTACAGCCTCGAATCAGTGGAAAAGTGCTGTAGAACCATGACTTTAAACAGCACGGTGTTAACAAACCTGTAAAGTCTAGTGTGGAAGCAATAAGGGGATTGTATAAGCATGTGTCAAGGGTAGTGCATTGGGTTAAATCATAGTATGTCAAGTGTGGTCCATGTAGGTAAAACATCTAGTGGAAACACCTTGTATAAGATACTGAGATCAACAAGTGTGATCTCCTAGGTCAAAAACACCCAGGGGGAAGCACCTTGGATATGTAGGTGAAGAAACAAATTACAAACATGAGTGTAATCTTGAGGGTTTTCATAAACAGTCCATTGTCAACAGACATGTCATACTTCATCCACATATGTGGCAGACTGTAATACCAAACACAGTGATAGTAAGCCATGGTATGGTGCCAAAAAAAACGAAATAACTAAACATGAATGGGGCTGAAGGACTGTGAATTGTATATGAATAGACCAAGTGCGGTCCATCCAGACAAAAATCATCCAGGGGGAAGCACCTTGGATATGTAGGTGAAGAAACAAATTACAGACATGAGTGTAATCTTGAGGGTTTTCATAAACAGTCCATTGTCAACAGACATGTCATACTTCATCCACATATGTGGCAGACTGTAATACCGAACACAGTGATAGTAAGCCATGGTATGGTGCCAGAAATAACTAAACGTGAATGAGGCTGAAGGACCGTGAATTGTACATGAATAGACCAAATGCGGTCCATCCAGGGGGAAGCACCTTGGGATATACTGTATTATGCCAAGTGCAGTCCATATGGGCAAAAACATCCAGAGGAAGCACCTTGGATACATATGATAAAAACAAGTGAGGTCCACCAGGGCAAAAAATATCCAAGGGAAGCCCTTAGATTTTGAATATTATATTATTGTATAATCATTGTTCGGTAATGAATATAATGGTGAGAGTCCTCTTCTTGCCCAGTGAGTACATATGATATACAAGGTCTGACTTTGTTTGTTATACAAAACCCACTCAGGAGGAAATCTCCTTAGTCTAACACTCCAGTGACTGGGAACCAGAAGTGGCAAGGACTCCCGTGCTCCATCAGAAGAGAAGGGGGCAATACACATTGAGAAGGCCATAGGAACGACACACCAGAGACAGTGCAATGGATGTCTGCAATTCCCTATTTTGAAAAGCAGAAAGACCCCAATTGGAAGAATAAAGAGTCAGTAGGGGTGGGCAGAAATCCCCATCTGCTTTACTCATGAAGTGGCGGCCCTTTATATATGAAACAGTGATATATATATATATATATATATATACACACACACACACACATATCACCCCATCTGAACAGTGAGCATTACAGAAGTATACAGATTTAGTACCAATATAATATTAAGCATACCTGACCAGACAACACCCACCACCAGATGGAATCCTGAAATATGATGTATATCAACTAAATAAGATAAAAAAAATAATAATACATTGACTTACCCCAGTCAAAGACAAACAGACATGTGTAGAATCACCACAGGATGAAAACACAGCTATGTTGTACAGATAAAGAGTTACAAATGAATACATTTAAACCCACAAGAAATTAGATATTCTAGAAAGAAATACAATTTGCACAATACAGACCTTAACATACAGTTACAATGTGTACAGCGGAAGCAGTTTCGGTGAAACTTCAGTCCACTGGCTTCCATTTTCTCTGTAAGGTACAGACGCTTCCCACAGAAGTCACACTCTTCACTTGTAGCTGAACCCAAGTCCTAAATGTAAAATTATCTTAGCTTTTATTCTTTTATAAAACATCAATAATGTCCTTTATTAGAGATACATTTAACTTACTAATTATAAAGCAAGTTTAACATCAGGGAAACCTCTGTACTACGATTAATAGGGTACACAACTGTTTTATATTAGAAACTAAATAATATTAATATTTGTACATGAACTACCAAATTAATATACAAATCTAACATCACAAAATTGGTGTTTATTAAATGCAGCAACAACATTTCTTAGTTTATACATCGGTGGTAAACTACTTCATATAAATAACTGTAAGAATATATGTGCACATGATACATACATAATTAAAAAATAAGAAAACAATAAATCATATTTCATTTATTGACACATTTCACAAACAACAAGAAAAGTACAAAGGATAAATAACGTTAACTAAGAATTTTCTTCAAATGTTTCTACAAACACACCTAACTGCTTGTGGACATGGCATAACTTTTACATTCTATTAAATAAACAAATTGCATAAATATAAGCAATTTGAAACAAGAGGTGTAACATGTCTTAATGCATTAGCGTGTAATTTGTGCAGGTAGAATGAAAGTAGAAATCAGAATACATGTAACAATTGACACAAACCTAGAAACAAACATAAAAATATATTATCAATAATAAAATCTAATGGCATAATTAGTTCCATAATGAGAATAACCTCTATCAATGTGGTAGTGAGCCAAATACCATTAAAATCCTTAACAGATATCTACAAGCTCTTTAGTAAATAGTCTATGTATATGCTCATACTTTTTTCTCTGTTTGATGAATTTCTGTGAACACTTGACTAATGAACTCAAATTTTATACCTTAAAATATGATTAAGGCACTAATAATTTCATTTGAAACTGTCAGTATGTTAATAGTGATGAAAATAGGACTTTTTATTTAACCAGTGAACACCAGCATGCAGTCATTATGACGCCATACCATCTTGTGTTAATGACTGGAAATTTAACGCTGACATTATAGGATTAAGTATTGACTGTGTTTGTGTCTGCATTGTTTATGGCATAACTATTAACCTTTGTGAAATAAGTATATAACAACTTTGTTAATTATGTTTCTTACGATAATATCAAAGCAGTCTTATTTGAATGTGTGGTAAAAGTATCTTAACTTAATAGAAACTATAGAATTAATATGTGCGTTTATGATATTTTTAAATACTGCTGGGATGTATTCAAAAATAAAAGTCTAATGTCAACAAGAACTTTTACCTAATACCAGGATTCAAACAGCAATGGGTATTTCAGTCCACTTTAATAGGTTTTTATCATCTCCTCTTAGACATAGCTATCTACAACTTATGTTCACAACAAAACATCATTCTCTTACGTTTACAAGCATGGTACTTTTTACACATTCTTTACAGTTATCCTGCATAGTACTTTGGAGTATGTTACACTGAAGATCATCAAGACACATAAACACATCTGGAGTTAAGTTATTAATTGACTACAACATTTATTCAGTGCACTTGACAGAAATATAATCATGCACTATTTTGTAGCTGATTTATTCAGTTAAAAGTGAAATTACTTACTTAGTTTTATGTAAGTTGAATTGATTTATATTACTTGAATTGTGTAATTCTCATTTAATTATAAAATTGCAAAATAGACAAAATCTACTGTAATCCATTTTACCTACCATCATTGTTGAGAAGTTTGGCCTTATTATTAAAAGGAAAACAATCACTGGCAAAAAACCTGGTATTTTGAATCAATCAACTGAATCTTGATAACAGTATAGAACAAAAGTCAAAATAGCAGCAAAACACAACAACAAATATATATCTCATATAGGAATATACCATTGGTTGTTATCTTTTTTGTAGAATTATAAAATTGACTCTAAGTTCATTCTTTGTTCTAAACACGTGTAAATTTCATAGAATATATGGTCAAGAAAACTGTTAAGTTGATCTTGTTTCCAGTTACTTTTGTTCTTTGTTATCCTTAATTAAACCTTGTGGTAGAATTAAGTTGGTAATGTCCTTCATTGGTTGTTCAGGTAACATTTATAGTTTAATGTCTCTAGTATGTTTTCTGAGAATAGCTTGTCACATGGTGACACCAGTCAAACAGCATAAATACAAGGTTTCTTCAAACAGAAACAAATACATGCTGGACAAAGCAAGGCATACAAACCCATCTAAGCCTAGGTAAGGTGTCCTACAGTCTTACCAAGTCCTTAGTCCAGCAAACAAGTACAGACAATTATTTGATGTCTTAATGAAATAATTTTTTTGTGTTTTGTTTATGCTGAATGAAACAGAGAGATTAATCTCAGGTAATAAGCATTTTAGTATTACTCATAATTCTACATCTTGAAAAAATCTCCTGTTTAGTTGATTTACACAATACAGCTTTCAATTTAATTCAATTAACCTAAATATACCACACAGAGAGCTACATTAATTAGATGTTGAAAAGTATAAAAATTAACTTTCAAATACAAATTAAACAGAATTTACACAAGTAATGACTCAAATACATAAATGCTTCCCTTGCTACTGACATTAGTTTTTATGTTGACCCATTCCAGGTGAGACTCATCATTCAGTGTACTGCTCTTTTTATTCATAGTAAATGTGATTTTGAGTGCATACAAACATATTTATGATCTACTCTTCAATAAAACACACATATATTTATAAATGCTATTCTGTTCAGCCAAAAAAATTATGAATAGTGCTCCGATTTCTGTACATTTCTTTAGTTCCAACAAAAGAACTTATTCAGCAGATAAACTGTATGGCTGAATTTCAATTCTATATGAAAATGTTTATATTTTTCATCATTTAAAAATTTTGAAATACAGATATTTAAGATTTATTTAAAAACAGGAGGAAAACAGTTCTTGTTACACATGTTAAAGCTCTTCATATAATTTTTGAACTAAATGTGATTAAATTAACCTAAATGTGTCACTTATGTGCATATGCTCTTGAACACATATTTTAAAAAATAAAGTATCCATTAATCATTCACTTTTTCTCTTTTAAAACCTATACTTTATTATGCTAATTAAAGTTTTTGTTCACTAAATCTTAATTTATTTATTGTGGCTTCACTGTGTAATACTTCATTCAAAGTTAATGTTAACTGTTCACAATACAAAAGCTAAGTTAATAATTACAATTTTTTAATATAAAGGATGCATTAAAATCCAAAGGAAGGTCACTTGACTAAGATATCACTCATATGACAAAAGTAGAAGATCATTACTTTTGTGTGTGTGTGTGGATGGGTGTATAAATATACCTTAAAGATTTATTTTCTTTTTCTTCAGAAGTGAAATTGAAAAGAGAACCTGTGACGTGGAGGTCTAATGCATTCCTTGATTGGCCGTACCCTCTGCTGTGGACTACAGTTTTGCCTATTCAAGGCCCATCAATACAGCTTGGGCCAGCAAACCAAAAACACGTACCATTAAGCCTTTTATAATTGTGAAGTGTATATAATATCTATGGGTTTTTGAGTCCAGTTTACTTCACTGTAAACATATAACATATACACACAATCGTTAAACAGTTGGTCTACTGTATAATGTCGATTAATGAATTTGATGAAATGTCATAACATAATACAAATACCCGAATTAATTTAGGTTAGTATGTGGTGAGGTAAGATAGACTCTAGGCCCTATATTTATTACATACACTTCACCATTATAAGAGTCCTAAGAGTATTTATTTGGTTTGTTGACCCAAGCTGTGCTGAAGAGCCTTGAATAGGCAAAACTGCAGTCTACAGCAGAGGGTACAGCCAAGTAAAGAATGCATTAGGTCTCTACATCACAGATTCTTTTTTCAATTTCACCTCTGTTGAAAAAGAAAAGACATTTTAACATATATATATATATAATAATTAAACAGTTGGTCCATTGTATAATAGCAAATACTGAAATCGACAAAATATCATAGCATTATTCACATATCTAAATCAATATATATATATATATATATATATATATAATAGCAAATATATATATATATATATATGGTGAAGTAAAACAGACTCAAAACCCCATAGATTGTATCACTTTTGTTTATTTAATTTGAATCTGAATAACTACTAAGCTCTCTTAAATATCCTGTCTAAATATTGTATAAACACCAAGAAAATAGATTAATATTAAGACAAAATCTAAATCATGGATTAATGGATGTAAGAGAAAAATTCAGTTTTGTAGTCAGTAATTATTATTCTATTATGGTTGAATTTACTGATATTTAGTGTTATGCATATGAGCGGTTAAAGCTGAAAGAAACACTCTCCTCAAACTACTTTTAAATGACTAGAAAATTAACACTTATTATTTACAGTACTGTGCAAAAGTGTTAGGACAAGAGAATATTTTGTCATTCTTTCCATTTTATGGGGGTAATTCTTCACTGTTAACAATTGAATGAGCCAGGGTGAGAATAATTATCATTCTTTAGAATTCTCAAATACTTGTACTAAGGGCATGTCATAAGGATTCTGCTGATCAAATTTAGGGTCTGAAATAACTGTCATGGTACCCCATGCAGTGCCTTAACTATACAAGAAGAAGCTATAAAGAAGCTAGCATATGATACCGGTATATGCTAGAATAAATCAATTTAATAACACTCCATATATAAACTTTGATAAAAACAGTGTTTAACACTATATATTAAGTTTTGTTGTCATGCCACAGCCCAAAAAGCATAGGGAATTGTCAGTAGAGCAGAGAGTTTGCAATAGCTTTACATGATGCTGGTTGGACTCTTCGACAAATTTCTGAAGACATGAAATGCTCCCCAAACACTGTCAAGTACATAGGAAAAGAAGAGGCAGAACACCTAAACTCAATGATACTGATGTTAAGTATCTTTGTTTATGCAGCCTTTGGGACAGAAGGAAGACTGCCACTGATCTCAAGCATGAGATAAATGACCATGTACCAAATGACAGAAAAGTATCCAGATCTACAG